CCTTGCTTTAAGGTGAGTAAATATTAACATTTAACAACTTTTTCTGTTGATTTTTCAAAAACTGAAAAGGTCTTCTTTAAAACAAGATGGGTTTTAGACTGATTTTGTGCAGTACTGTGAACTAAACTATATTGTTTTAGACTAATTGGTCAAATTTTCTAACCTGTTTTATTAGATTGTTTTGTATCAACAGTATATTTAATAAGTTTCTATGTTTGCATGATCTTGTGAGAAAACACACAGGCTTTAAATCAATTTTCTGATGCCCACCCACAGGTCTTTCAAATAGCTGCTCACTTGGTGTACTGGGGTAAAGCCATCATTGTGTATCCGCTATGCGAGAACAATGTCTACATGCTCTCTCCACATGCCAACATCTGTCTGTGAGTGCAAATCCTGTTTCCTTGCAGAAAATGACTTGCTCTGTGTACTGCATATGTTGAGTGAATCTGAATATGATTCATGAGCAATATTTTCACAAGCAAACACAGTTTGTGAAAACTTTGCAAAACTCCCACCTTCCAGGCATTTGTATGTAGTTTTATGTCTCATCCTAGGTACTCTTCACTGGCCCAGCAGTTTGCCCAGCAGTTTCCTGGTCATGATCTGCCATCCATGTTAGCCAAGTTCTCTTTACCTGTGTCTCTGTCAGAGTTCCGAAACCCACTGGATGCTCCTGTACACGAGGCCAGTATTGTCAATAAGGGGTTGAGAAAATCATTACCTCTTAAGTTTAGTCTCTGCTATCATGCCTGCATTAGCCCTACTGATAAAGGAAAAAAATCTGTTAGATTTAGATAACATGCAAGTATGCAGCCCTATCCAGTTTCAGTTTAATGGTATGGAATATAAAGAATGGCTGAAGCCATACTTTGGTCACTTCATAACTAAAGCTTTATATATATATATATATATATATATAAAAGGCTTATTAAAGGGGTCAATCATGTTGTCAATAGTCAAATAGTCTACATCAATTTTACAGCCCTCTAAATACATGTTTAAATACAGGGAAAAAAATCATGATATTAAATTGTTTTATTCCATAACCTATAAATCCAGAGTCCCCAGAGGAGTTCCTTTGCACTGTTCGGTTGGTGGGGGCATGGTTAAATCTGCACTGCACAGATTATTCCAAACATAAATACTGTTTTTGTTTTTTAGGGGGAGTTTTTCTTCCAAATTTAGTCATGGCAAATTCCCACCTGCTGGCTAGGTTTCACTCTATCGTACAATGCTACCAGACTGGGACTGTGCAGGATAGCACACAGTGTTGCCGGGTTCACAGTCTTCCTGCCAAATTGGGCTAGTTTGAAATTGCAGTTGTGGGTGTGAATTATTGGTCATCACTAGTTGGAGTTTACTCTCAATTTTTTTGCTTTCAAAATGTACTGCGGCCCCCAGCTCAACACACTTGGAGGAGAACACTAACTGCTAATTATGTTACATTAACTAACAGATGCCCACATTAGCTAGTATCATGCATGAATGATTGGCGGAGAGGGAGGACTGTCCTACCCTCTCAGAGAGTGAGGCCAATAATGCTCTCTCTGGCCACAAAATATTGTATGTTTAAGTGTGCATCTTTAGTTCCATGTATATGGCAAATTGTCATGCAAGTGGTAAGATTTTTGATGCTAGTATATGATGACATTTGTGTAATGCTAACTGACTCCTACTACCATTTATTATTTATTATCAAATTATCTCTGGGTGAAGTGTCTCTTTTGAAGCCTCCTCTGTGTGTGCTCTTGGTCCAGGCCCAGCTGATCCAGATGGTGGTGTGGATGCTGCAGCGCCGGTTGCTGATCCAGCTGCACACCTACGTTTGCTTACTGGTGCCACCCAGTGAGGACCAGCCAGCTCCACCAGATGATGAGCCACTGCTGGCAAGCCGCATGACTGGTCGCAGCCTGAGCACGCCCAGCGCCCTCAGCTTTGGCTCTCCGAGTATGTCCCCTCACTGCTTGCCTTGGTCTCAGTGCTTGTGGTGATGCTCGGACCCTGTAGACTAGCCTAATCCATTATTTGCTTCTAGCCAGCAGTGATGACATGACACTGACCAGCCCCAGCATGGATAACTCCAGTGCAGAGCTGCTGCCAGGTGGAGACTCTCCACTAAATAAGAGGATGACTGAGACACTGCTAGCCAGTCTGACAGAGCATGAACGGCAGGCCATCCTCAGCGTGCCAGCCGCACAGAACCCTGAAGACCTCCGCATGTTTGCCAGGTATGCACTGTGATGTGCCTGTGTCACGTGATGTGGTCAAGGTGGAAATCTTCACTGGATTTACTGGTTTAATTTATTACTACTTTGTGGTTTCTTTCATATTTCATTATACATTTAGCGATTTACAGAAATGTTTCACACAAAACTTAACATGGAAAACTGCAAAAGGCAGCTTGTAGGGCTACTATTTTACAAATTATCTCATGGTAAATTATCCCCCATAAGCTTTCATCAGTTGTTGGCCATGTCAGTATTTTGCAAGAAGAATTCCTCTAAGTCTTGATTAACATCTTCCACAGGTTGCTGCACTACTTTAGAGGCCATCATCACCTGGAGGAGATAATGTACAATGAAAACATGCGACGCTCCCAGCTGAAGACTCTTTTCGACAAGTTCCGCAGTGTTTTAGTGGTTACCAACCATGAGGACCCCATCATTTCTCTGTTCCAATCCCCACCAGAGTAACACCATAGTTTTGAGCTGCAGCTTCACATAGCAAAATACCTTCTGGACCTACAAATATAATACTGTGCACTATGCATGCTGGCAGTATTACTAATCATCCAAGTGCTATAAGGACTCCCTCACTGGCTAACACACCGTCAGTCTGACAGGGATTTAAATAATATATGACTTTGTTCAGTACGAAACATGCAACAATGCATGCCTGTTATACTGTACATATATTTTGACATAAAATATTTTGCCTTTGTCTGAAAGCATGCATTTTTTTCCACAGTGTTGGAGAATAGTATATTATTCATAAATCCTACTGTGTCTTATGCCATTGGATGGCCATAAAATGGATAGTTAGTGTAGCACTCGAGCATTTCCTATTAGGGGATGAGGGTTAATCCCTGGTGCGATAGATCATTCTTTCAACCAAGCAGGACCAAAGGATAACACACTATAATGATCGTTCCAGACCAAGCTGCTGCAAGCCCCAAGGGTTCCAGTGGAGGAAAACAGAAAGTGGATAAGAGGAAGACGGGGCAAAAGATGCCAAGTGCTGGATGCAGTTTATATTTGGCTTTGAGGCTAGGCCGGATTTTCCCAAACATCTGTGAAATCACTGAGTTCAAGACACAATGTCAGACATAAATGTTTATTAGAAAATGCCTAAGCTCTTTGGCTTAGATAAAAGTGAACTGCTCCTATAATGGCAAAAGTGGGAATTTTACATTCTCAAATTTCATGAAGAATGCCAGTTTTCAGCTATCTGTCCTCCTGTGGTAGCCTGATGAGACTTGGCAGTTACCTCAAGTTTGCTCTCAGCTTCTTTGTTCACTACGCTCACACAGGGGTGACCCCGCAGGTAGAAGCGTAGAGGTTTTGTGGCCCATTCTCCATGAGATTCTATACCAATCCGTGGGGCTGAAACCACCTCTCTAGTCCCTGGTGTCTCCTCTTCAGAGTCCTCTAGCCATACCTCAGTGTCCGTGGCCAGGTCCCTGCGGTCAAAGCAGCGCTGGATATCCAGGGCCTGGCAGAGCTTGGACGGACCATTACACAGCTCCCTGTCCTTCAGGGCCCTGGCACCATCTCTTCGTTTGGCTGCCCGCAGCTTCCTCATGACGTCCTGCCCCTGGAGGGGCTCCAGAGAGCGTAACAGCACTGCCGCCCCCTCCCCTGCACGCACAAACACAGAGCAGTTAACATGGCTCCACATTGTCTCCCTCCACTCAAAACTTGTGTTTACCTCTTTTGTCTAACACTGGCATGGAATTACTTCACCTATTGCATCAATGTACCCATTAATGAAGAACAGTTGGTGAAAACAGCAGCAAAACAAACTTGGCTTCAAACATAAACCCATTGTAGTTGTGGAATTTTGTCCTGCCAGGTGTTTCAGACAAAATACTTCATGCTAAAGGAGTTTAAAAACCTCACCCTGACTGGAGACATTCATGCAGAGGTAGATGCCATAGATGGGATAAACATAGACAGTCCCAGGCTTCATGAACATGGCAACGTTCCTCTCTGTGCGCTTCCCTCCAGCTGAGTGTGACGCTTTGTCCTCCCCACCCAAGTAAGCCTCCGTCTCCACCACCCTGCCTCTTAGCTCCGTGCCATCACAGTGTCTCCGCACCAGCACCTCACATCAACACAAAATTGAACACAATCTTTTTTTTTTATTAAGTTTTCCACCCGAATCCTTCGATTTGTGATGTTGCCAGCAGGTGGTGCCTGTGTACAACAGTTTGTGTGAAATGAAAACACCAGCTAATATTTACCATAATCAGTTAGCATATATTCCACTACAATACTTTTATATATATGTAAATACATGTAATAGAAAATTATGATAACAGAAAAAAGGAAGTTAATGGATACTTTTGTAACAACGTTGAAGTGTCTACATCACATTTGGCAGTACCTGTACCTTGGGTTAATCCTCCTTTTACAGTAAAAGACCACACTAAGCCACAATGATGGACATTATGATAATAATACTAATTATATTAATAAATACAACATAATGTGCACTTTCAGTGCTACCACAAATATAGTGTGGCTTTCGTTATGACTATAATTTGTCCGGTAGCAACGTCTGTGTGTGGGTTACCCAACACAGCAAACAGGAAATTAGAACAAAGTCAAGTAGATGTGTGTGTGTGGGGGGGTGTGTGTAACGAACTTGCTGCATAATGAACTTGTGTGAAAATGTCTAAAGTGGCTCCGACAGCTAGCTGTGGGTGGGCAGGAAGCTGGTCTGCATGGTCACATATTGGGGGTGGGGTTGGGTTCTGTCTGTTATGCAGCATGGCCCCCTAACATAATAACTGCTTTCATTCTCCTTATTACACCCTTGCTCTTTATTGTTCCAAGCACTCTTAAATTACAAACACAAACACACAGGCATACTTCTAGCAAGAAAGGAGCACCCACAACAGAAACTATGAGTCACGAAATTGATTACTAATTCGGTGTGCATTTCTGCTTTAAGTACCCTAAATGCTCTCTCTGGCACCTTTGCTTCTGTTTTATGGCTTCAGTAAATGCAAACTGGCACCATTTGTGCCTATAAGTCTGACCAGAATTCCTGGCTCTACACTGATTCATTACAGAGAAAGCTGTTTTGTGGGAGTTGGCCTACACTGTCTGTGTACTGCAATATTTCATTTGAGGCTACTGATGATGGGACTCTTCTAGAACATGCAGAGTCATACCAACTGTTGCAGTACTACACAATACAGTAGGGTTCTTCATTTCCAGTAATGGAGCACAGTTTGGACACCAGCCCTCAGGGACTGGAACTGAGGAACCCAGCAATACAGCAAGGATCAGCTGCATTTAAAAATTTTCTATAAGCACTTTGACTTACAAAGCACATTAGTTATTTTTTCCATGATGTGAAAGAAATGTGTTAGTATTACTTTGATTGAACTCTATGTACAGAATAATTCTTAAGTAAAGAAAAAAAAAAAACAAATAGTACATTAGATTGACAATTTTCTCAGTTGAGGGCTTCCAGAGTAGAACGCCTGAGATTTGTGTCTTCTTGTCATTTCTCATAGTTCACACACAGCTCAATTTACAGGTTAGAACTGAGCCACAAACACTGCTCCAAGCGTTTCCCTTGGCTGTGAAGCAAATCAACCACAGCTGACATTTTGCTGTTCTCTATATTATTTTCTCATTACTGCTACTGGCAACCTGGCCTGTCATAACATCATATGTGTAACCAACACTGCCACCCTGACCTCTGTAGCAAAGCTGTTTTCCCAGTTCACTGTCTGCTGTGAGCCTGTGTCACATTACCAAGCAGCCTAACGTTCCACACAGCTACTGCGTGATGTTCACCACCAGAATCTTGAATTTGTTACAGAAAATCTCAATTATTGTACTGATAAAGGGTGCTGTAGTTATCATTAAAGGATCACTACTTGATCTAACTTACTTCCAACAAAATTAGGGATGCATGATATGGGAATTGTGGGCCCATGCCTATATCTGACATTTTTCCTGTCGATACATAAACATTTATAAGATGTGTAAATTGGGACATCTACCTGAATTAGATGTATGGAGAAATACAACCCTTATTTCTATAGGTTTACACAAATTAATAAAATGAATAACATGCAGCTGTTTTTAAGCACAGCAGCACAAAGTCACTTAAATGTTTTGCTCTTCTGAAGTACAATAAATGTCATCAAATATCGATTCGTGTATCATGAAAAAATTCTGTAAGTATCGTGATTCTGTATGTTTGCTAACCTATATTTCTTTGTCATAATAGGTTATTCAGAAGAGTTTCTTATCATTTGGTGCTTACCTTACCCAGAAAGGCTTTGGCTAAATCAACACATGGTTGGTTGAAGAAGTTAAATCTCAACCTGGCTCCATTTTCATCATTTCTCGCAAAATACTGACTGCGGAGCTCTTCTTGATCTTGCTCCTCGTATCTGTCGCCCTCCTCCGCTCGGGTGGTCTTTTGCTGCATTTGCTTAGGAGTCGCATTTAGCTGCTCGCAAAGTTGAGCAGATGGGAGTAACTTTCTCTTGCGAGTTGGCATGACAAGTGCATTAAAAAAACAACAAGCTAAGCTAACGTTTGACTCTACACGGTGTGCCACCCTGTTATAGTCTATAGACTCTGTGTGGTCACCACTTCTTAAACACAGCTACCACTGCGCTGTCTGTGTAACATGGACTACACCATTAAAAAATAAGATGTTTATTAGCTGGTGACTGAAGTCATTCACTGAAACAGCCCACTGCTGTTAGCAGCTCTAGAAAGCTACGCTGGCTAGCTAGGTTAGCTCTCTATCCAGGCTAGCTCCATTAATAGAGACATTTTTCGGCTTGATTCGAGGTCGTTAAAGGCTTAGTTTTAAACACATATTCTCTGTTTTTCCCAACTGATGAACACAGACATTTATTCACGCCAAGTGCAGGAGAGCTTTCCAAAAGTCCACTCAACCTTTAGCAGCCTGCAGCCTCAGTGGCTCTGTGTATTTTTCCTCCATGTCTGGCAAAGACTTGTGGGATTGTTAAAGGCGCCGCGACCACAACGACCTACAGCCGGCGGTGGTGAAGTAAACGTTTCTGGTCTCTGTATTTGTTTTTACAGAATAACTCGGGATACAAAGGGGAAATAATGTGGTCCAGATTCCCCTGAAGAAGAGCCTCTCTGCATCTGTTCACAGTGGATACAGACTGTAGGCTGTCGGGCTGTGTGTCTCTGCCTCTTATACTTATTTCGGTTGATGTTTTGATTGGTGTGGATGAGCTGGGCGGCGCTGCACAAAGCAGGATAAGACAACTCTCAGACAACTGGACACCTTTAGCCCAAAATGAAGGCTGACCCGTCTAAATACCCTACAAAAAGATACATAGTAACATTCAGGGGTGTCACTAGAGGTTGATAGAGGGGGCTAAATTCATCATGAACATTTAGAGTAGCAACAGATAGAAAAACGTGCAAACACACAGATTATGGATCAGTTTACTCTCAGTTGGTGCCATCAGAAAGAGTGTGAATCTGCTCTGTAGACATGTTTAATAGGCTAGGTGACAGAATTTTATGTTTACAAATTCTAAAGCCCCCTAAAAGTGGCCTAGCGACGCCCATGGTTATACTATAAGAAACTAAGATTTCTATAATTCTGAATAATACCTGTAAAAATCCTGTAGTGTTACTGTAATGGGCGTAGCTAGGCCAGTTGTAGGAATGTTTTAGGAATCTAAATGTTATTTATCCACCCTTTCCCAAATAAATAGACATTACTAGTTCAAATCATCTGTGGGTTATTCTTGTTCATTCTCCATATTTAATTGCGCCATCGCATCTCCAAATTCCAATATACTGTAATAGCAGGGCGCTGCCTCTGCTGTGCTACCAGAGATGTATTAACGTAACGTGAAACGTGGAACTTCCGGCTCAGCCAATCATGCAGTAAGACCTTGTATGTTCTAAGCCAATCATATCAGACCTTGTAAGTTGTAAGCCAATCATATCAGACCTGGGGGAGGGTCTCTGGTTTTACTGCTCTGTAATTTAACGTTGGTTGGCTGAAGCTGAACACAGGATTTTGGCTAAAAGCTCGCTGAAACACGCCTTAGACATATACAGATTAACACAGTAAGTAGTTAGCGTTATGGAGTCACGATACCCACCTACTGTATGGATTTGTAGCAAATTATGTTTCAGTATAGCTGGCTGGCTGGGTTTTACTCGGTTGCTTGTTAGCTAGCTAACTTTGGGTTTATATGAGGCAAAGAGAAGGGATTAGGCTACATACCTAGATTAATGCGGTTTGTCCAGCCAGGCACGTCAACGGCGCCACCATTTTGGGGCGGTAAACATCACTGCTGGACTGTATTCAGTACCATTACAGAGCGGCAGTTTAAGAAAAATACGGTCCAAAATTATACTATTTCAAGAATATTGCACTCAGAAAGAAGGATGGGATTATATAACGGAGGGAACGCAGTGATCCACGCTCAGGTTTGTGTGATGCGTATTATTTGTGTGATGTTTATGTGTAGATATAGCTGTGTGGTTGGTGAAGCACAGAGAACCTGTTGATGTGATTTTTTCCCTCTGGTTTTATATTAAGATTAATTTCATTTAATAGTCTAATCAGGCGATCTTAACTTGATGTAGTAGTTATTTATTTCCTTGATCCTTGTAGATATTCATGATAGATCAACGTTAGCACCTTCTTACACAAACCTGAAGTTAGCTTCTTATTTGCCAGCTTCTTGTTCGAATTGTCCCGTTCCACCTTAAATGTTGCACCTTCAGGCACCAAAAAGTGACTGCTGCACCATTTAAAGTTGAACAGGAAAACTCGAACAAGAAGCTGGCAAATGGGAAGCCAACTTTAGCCTTGTCATTCTGTGTTTTGGGGCGTTTATTTTATTTTTAGGTGTATTAAGATTAGAAGCAATTCACACATTGATGGATTTGCTGATTGTGAGATTGTGTTTCTACCGGAGTTTGCGCTGAACTCTGTTTTTAACGTCAGGTGCAGACTGAATACTTTCCTGTTGGTCCAGGCGGCTAATTAGCATGATCAGTTATTAAAGAAATAAAAGCTACCGAGAGCGGTCTGTGCAACCTAGATTACTCTATGTCTGAGGATCATTACAAAACAAAATTGGTGATTGAGTAATAAGGAAGTTGTGGCCGATTTAATCCTGAGACTCATCATCTCTCAATACATATGAATTTGTTCACAAGCGGATCTTGACCGCTCCAAAATGCCGGACGCGCAGATGTATTGCCTCAGATAGAGAGCAACAGGCACCGCAGCATCTAGGTATGTATATCTATGAGGTTAGGCTAACACTGCGTTAGCTAGCTAGCTGACAAGCCAACTAGTTTAACCTCTCTTCATAGTGAGAGAGTGTATATATATATATATATATATATATATATATATATATATATATATATATATATATATATATAATTTTATATTTCTCTTAAATATTTGAAAACAATGGCACCAGTATTTGCCATATATTGTCGTTTACAGTAGGTTGTCAGTGAAAAGGTCAAATAATGTTGATCATAAGGCAATTTTATATCCCTCAATTCCTCAACCTGTAGGGGCAGCAGCTCTGTTAAAGGCCAATGAGATGAGATTTTTACCAATTAAAAGCAAACAAAAAATGTGCTGATTACTCATTATTCCCTGTAAATCTGAATTTAATAAAACAATGTATTACTGAAGAGAGGGAGAGAAAGAAGCTGAAGAAGACTGACAGGACTGAAGGAGCAGATCTGATGGAGGTTAGTGATCAAGAAGAAAACAAGGGAGAGTTGTTTAAGCTTTCACTGAATGTAATTGAACTTGAATATGAATTGAATATGTCACTATGACCATGAAATTCTGCCATATAGCTTATTAAAGATGCCTACAGAGCAAAATCACTCTCTAATTGCACCAGCTGAGACTGAACTGATCTATAATCTGTGGATTTGAATAAGGTATTTAGGACCTTGCAGCTTATCTAAGAGAGAGGAGATAACATTCCTTGACTTCAGTACCTTAGCTTGATTTGTGTCTGTTATAAGTGGATGCATAGTGTTTGTCATACTCGCTCAGTGCTTAATACAAATTACAAAGAGACAGATCTACTGTGTGCTGATTTGACCAAATAGTCATTTTTTAATACATTTTCTAGCTGTTCCTACTTTAAAAGTTAATGATGAACAGATATTTTGAGGTCATTAAAAAGATTTTCCTGGGGGACCATGCCCCCAGACACCCCTAGTACAGGCTTAGCCCCACATCGATAAACCTCTAGTGACGCCCCTGGTTCCTATAGATCTCTTTCCTAAAGGATTGCATTTAATTGCTGACATAATTAGGCATATAGGAGTCATTTTCTCTTGTAAATTGGCGCAATGATTGCATTAAAAAAATGACAAACTCTGTACGTGTGCTATCCTGTTATTAGTCTATTCTGTGTGGTCTCCACTTACTGGATACAGCTGAGTCAATGGTTATTCTATGGTTAAGATGTTTATTAAACTGGTAGTTTTCAGTCAGTTAATTGCAACAGCTAACTCTTTTTTTCACTGTTAACAAATACAGTAACCTTTGCTACTTTATTTTCTGGAATTAAATTCCTCCAATTTTTTAGAATTGCTGCATATTTCAATCATTAAGATATAAAGAAATTTAGAGTGCTTTGGTGAGAAATATGCTGTTCCAGAGAAACTTAGCAAGTCATAGTTGTTTACAGCGATGGTGATGGGAACAAGACGTCTGAAGCGTTTAATGTCTGTAAAAGCTCCTTCACAGAACGTTATTACATGAAATAGTAACAAGTACGTTGCATGATGCCTAACATTGTTTCACGCTAGTTTTGGGAAAAGAGATTTTGACTGAAAACACATAAACACACATTTTCTAAGCTGCTTATCCTTCTGGGGCATGGGGACCTAAAATAAATATTTTAAAATTAGTTAATTTACCAGTATTTTGCAATCAGCAACATTGTATATAAAACAGGAGATGCATTAACTCACTTGTTGTTTTTGGACAGTGAATAAAATAGTTGCATGTGTTTTCCTGGCGTAATATGTATGCTGGTTTCTATTACTGCCATTGTAAAGAAATTGGAGAAAACCATTCTAAATTACTTTGTTTTAATCTCCATGACTTAATTTTTCAGACATTTTTGAAAAATTGGTGGAATTCCTCTTTAAATTATCTGAGAAATATTGCTTTGTGAAACTATATCCTTCTTGATACTCCTTGGATATATATATAAAAACTTTTTTTTATTGGTTCCTTTTGTGAGAGTTCTTCAAATGTGCTCCACAGTCATACCAGTGATTATCAGCAGACCTACCTCAGCTGAATGAACCTCCATGCTTTTTTTTTTTTCAGTTCCTTTTTCTGTGCTGTATTTCCTGGCAACACACTGTAATCAGAGACCTAGGCCAGTTATTTATGCCTGACTTGATACTAGATGAGTGCTGTGTACTAATTAGTTAACATTGTGGAAAGCTGTTTGCATGCATGCTGAGCCAATTGGACATGCCTGGTGGTCTGTGGTTTAGTAAATGAGGAAGCGTGTGGGTGTGTGAAGGTCTCTGTGTCTGTATGTGTGTGCGTGCATGCATACTTAGTTGCTTAGTTCAGGTATTACTTTTATTAATACTAATACTCAAAGCAACATTTCTGTGGTGCTAGCTGGGAGAGTACAACTTTAATGACATGCAGTGACACGCAGTTGTTGGCGGAACCTGCAGACTTGGGCCCTAACAGTGCAGCTCTTGCTGCAGTAGGCACAGCCAGTCTGTCATCAGTAGCAGTAGACTTGACTCCTAAACACCTGGCTTGCTGCCTGTGCCAGCTGCTCCCCGAGGACCTCCTCACCGGGAAAGTTTAGCGCAAGTGAGGAACAGAGAACAGAGTTAAAGCAGGGGGAAGCCTGTCTCATGCTCCCCCCCCCAAGAGGCTCTATTGAAGCCCTTCCAAAGTCTTTGAAGTTGACGGGCAATATGTTGTTGTCGAGCAGCAAGAGCTGAAAAGCTGCTGCTGTATGAAGTGCGCTCCATTTATAATTGTCTCTTAGTTTTCACCTTTCCGGCCTTGTAGGCCCTGCTGACGTTAGATAATACCTTAAATGTTAGCTGTGATCTCTTGTGGTTTATTCATCGTAGTCCCACAGTGGGTTTGCTCTAAAAACAATGAACCATATGGACAAGGCTGTATGCGTGTATGCAAAAGGCAAAGTGTTTTGCATGTGGTGCAGGTCTGAGTCTATGGGCAGGAGAACTGCTGGCATGGCTCAGCGA